TGAAAAGGGATTTACCGATCGCATGATTCCTTCTAAAGCTAGTCCCAGCCACATGAAAGCTGACTACTTGGAACTATGCAAAACTGAAATCAGCTCTTTAATGGCTAAGAAGCTTGTCACTACTAGCTACTCCCCCTGGAGTTGCAGAGCTTTTTATGTCAATAAAAATGCTGAAAAAGAACGAGGAATTCCTCGATTGGTTATTGATTATCGACCACTTAATCTTGCTTTAAGTTGGATCCGATACCCAATTCCCAACATTAAAGATCTTTTAGATAGATTACAATCTGCTGTAATCTTTTCTAAATTTGATCTTAAATCTGGATATTACCAGGTACAGATTGCAGAAGAAGACAGGTACAAAACAGCCTTTTGCGTACCTTTCGGACAGTATGAATGGACAGTAATGCCATTTGGATTAAAAAATGCCCCTTCAGAATTTCAACATATTTTGAATGACATATTTAATCCTTTTACTAAATTTTCTATTGTTTATATTGATGATATTCTCATATATTCAACATCAATCGATCAGCATTATAAACACTTGAAAATTTTCAAAGATATTATTTACCGAAGTGGTTTAGTAGTCTCTGCTCCTAAACTAAAACTGTTTTTAACTAAGGTCAGATTTCTTGGTCATGAAATTTGTGATGGAAAAATCAGGCCTATTAATCGCAGTATTGAGTTTGCATCTAAATTTCCAGATGAAATAAAAGATAAAACTCAACTTCAAAGATTTCTGGGTAGCTTGAATTATATTCGCAATCACTACAGAGATCTTGCACAGGACACAGCAATTTTGTACACCAGGTTAAGGAAATCTCCTTCCCCATGGACTTTGGAACACACCAAGGCAGTCCAGAAGATTAAACTCAGAGCCAAACAAATTCCTTGCTTAGCTCTGGCTAATTCTTCATGGTTCAAAATTGTGGAAACAGATGCCTCCAATATTGGATACGGTGGTATTCTTAAACAGAAAAATCCGAACACAGGAACAGAGGAGCTTGTTCGCTTCACTTCGGGAACTTGGAAAAATGCACAATTAAATTATTCAACCATAAAAAAGGAAATTCTTTCTTTGGTCAAATGCATTTATAAATTCCAAGATGATTTAATCAATCAGAAATTCTTGTTACGCATTGATTGTAGTGCTGCTAAACAAGTACTGGAAAAAGATGTAAAGAATTTAGTTTCCAAACAGATATTTGCTGGTTGGCAAGCTGATTTATCCGCTTTTGATTTTTCTATTGAATATATTAAAGGCAGTTCTAATTCTTTACCTGATTTTCTAACTCGTGAATTTTTGCAGGGTTCATGAATCAGCCCCTCCATGGGCAGGGCCGGGGTAATACTCCAAAGGCTCGTGGCAAAAACAAGGCTAAGGCCAAAGTGGTTATACCACTCACTGATGATCAGTTTCCATATTTGGAGCATGTTGCTGATCTACTCAAAACTCCTTCTAAAGGAAGCAGTAGTACCCAGCAAAACCAACAGAAACCAACCATGAAAGAGGTTCTTGAACAAGAAACTCCATGGATACCTAATCAAAGGTATATTCAAACAGTATTGGTACTGGACTCTCAAGATGAGCAATGGATGCCAGATCCTTGGGAAGTAAAATCCAGATATTTCCAAACTCAATAATATGCTGCACCGGATGGTCGTCATAGATATATTTATGAAGCCATTCTTACAGAAACTTCCTCTGTGGAGATAAGCCACACGAAGCAATTTCCGAATTCCAAAGATAGTCCTCTTACTTATAGTAAAGCTATCTTTAAGAGGCTTATACGGCCTAGTGACTGGGGATTAAATCCCAATTTGCCAAGGAAAATATCCTATGGTCACAGTTACAATTATTGGGATTATATCTCAGCTTGGACATATTCGTTCTTTTATCAAAATCCGAAGCATAGGCATTCTTGGTTCTTCAAGATATGTCCTCAATCAGTTAAGGCTGATTTCCCAAACTGGGTTATACCCTGGTGGGCTATATTTGGCCCTGATCTGGATATGTTGCCTGAATCAATCAGTCAATTATATTTGCCATGGCAACAATTTCATCCTCAATTACAAGGACAGGATAATGTTCCTGTAGGGAAATCTACCCTATTGTTCTTTACTGAATTTGGAATCCCTTGGATTTGGAAATGGGATTTCCAATGTGGTTATACCACTGACAAGTTACCGGTCCTTCAAAGGATCTTTTATTACCGATGGTGGTCAGGCATGACTCAAGAACCTATCCAAGCCCTCCTCCATCAGATCAGAAAGAAAACAATGGAATACATGGATAAGATTCCAAAGTTGACTATTCCAGAACCCGAAATCTTTAACCCTTTTGATCTTGTTAAAGATATGATCAGAAAACAACAACCATTAATTACCGAAGCTGATTTAATGGTTAAATGCATGGATTTTATGAGGACCAAATTTGTTAAATCTTTTGAATCCTCCACCCCTACAGTACGAGATGATGCATCCATGGTATCAGTCTCTAGCCAGACCAGTCAAGAAGGAAACCAGTTTTCCTGTCTAGCAGGTTATGCACAGAATCCCAATGAAGATCTTAATTCTGAAGATGAGCCTACAGTAGCAGACTATTGGGACTCTCTCACAGAACACTTGAGGGACAAGATGAATCCACCCAAAAAGTAAAGATTCCTCTTATCCTACCGACAGAAGCAGCCAAAAGAACTTTACCCAAAAGTCTTTGGTTCTACAGTAAGTCCTTCATCAGATGGCTACTTTCCATCAAATAAGGCGACAGCACTTAATGGTGGGCCAACCGACTGCATTATTCCAGCACACGATCCCATGCACTATGCGGACTTCAAAATGTTAATTTCAAATCCATTTTATGTATAAATAGAGGGCAAAGTTTCCCTTCAATGTACCTTTCAATTTTCTCTTCCCTCTTTTGTAATATCTCTCTGTACTAGGTTGGAAGTTTCAATAAAGAAGATTTCTGTAAGTCTATTCAACTCGTGTTTAAATATTGTTGTTTAGTTTATATATCTTTCAAAGTGTTTAGTTTATATTTATATCGATCCTCAGAAATTATCAAACAGCACCTAAGATTTTAAAATACAATAAATGCATATGAACCAACTCATCGTAATCATTTCGAAGTTGAAATGCAGGAGAAAGCTTGTGACAATTTTTGGATAAAGTGAAATTTTTGCATAGAGATATAAAAGAGAGAGACCAATAGGAAAACCAACATGTCAAACTAAGATTATATAAAGTTGCGGCGATAGATTTTAACCTAAAGTTTCAGACTCTAACAGTCTCATTTAAGAAATAAAAAATAAAAAAAAAATAATTTTTTATAAAAAATAAAAAATTATTTTGTTAATATTGATTGTTCTAGAATTGGTTAAGAAAAAGAAACTGAAATACTACTCGATGGAGCGGAGAAAATGCACCGCTTTTGGAATTCCACTCAAACGCTCACAGAGTTAGGATCGCACTCATCTTTGACAAATGAAAGATACAAACAAATAAAACAAGATATTCGTCACCGGCGGTCGATGTCTTGCCTCCCTAACGGCAAACACTTCACTAGTCGCAAGACTGCTGCACCTTTTATATGCATTCACCGTTTTGGTCAGCAACGGTATGTACATCTTTTTCATTATTTATGTGGGTCCCATTCTTTTTTCTATCTTTTCGCAGAAGCAGAAGCCCACCGTTGTTAACCATGCACTTGTCATTCAAGTACAGTAGTAGTACACACATCAATGCTTGTTTACCATGCACTTGTCATTCAAGTACAGTGGTAGTAACACACATCATGCAACCAATTATTATAAAGAGTATTTAGCTACGTCATCAACCAATTTTAACGAATTTCCAAATGATAAACGCTAACAAAATCAAAAACTCCATTGATTTGTAACTATAAAAATATTTTTTTATTTTTAAAAAATTTAAAATAATATAAAAAAAATTTATTTAATTCAATTTTTAGAAATTTTAAAAATTCAATCATAAAAATGTAATATATAATTTTCTAAAAATAAGCCTTTTTTATAAATAAATTTTCAAAAAATTGACTTTTTTTGTATAGTTTTTTAACATAAAACTATTTTTATAATTACAAATTAAGTATACCTTGTTTTTAGATAATTATAAAAGATAATTTTTTTGTTTTTTGAATTTTTTAGAATTACAAATCAAGCAACTCCTAAGGTCAGTTAGAAAACAGTTTTTAGATAATTATAAAAAACTATTGTATGAAAGCAGAGATTTTTATAACTGAGTTTCCTGAAAACTGAATCAAGGAGAATTTTTTTATATAATTTTTTGTTTTCAATTTTTCGATAAAAGATAAGTATTTTCATAATTACGAACCAAGCAAGAAGTATATAAATAAAGTTTTAGATCTAAAATTGAAAAATGGGAAAACTTTTTAAGTTTAAAATTGAAAGGAAAAACACTACTTAATCATATTCCGGAGTCCTTAATAAAACTGTTTTAATGAAAAACCAAAAGTCCACATTGTTGTTTTTTCATTTTATTTTTTTAAATATTAATTAAGGCTATTGTTGTAATAAATCTTGAGAGATCACGTAATAAAACAAATATTATAAATTTGGAACATAGAAATAGATAGAGATATACCCAAGTAAAATTTCAAAACCCATATATATATGTGTGTGTGTGTGTGTGTGTGGAGATGATCAGCTTGAACTCGATATGAAAATTTTGAACCCCAAGTTTATCCGGAAGTGAGATGGATCTGGTATTTGAATAAAATAATCAGATAAAACGGAGTGATATTTTTGGTATTTGAATATATGTATTAAATCCGAAATATTTATTTATTTATTTACACGGAAAAGGTTTTTATTTTTTCCATTGAAGAGTTTTACCACCTGTAGACTTCTTATTGATTTCCGAGACTTTCAATATATATATATATATATTTAAAAAACAGATAAATCCGTTAAAAGTGGATCAATACCTCCCTTGAAATTCAAGAAATACTCAATACTCTTTACTAAAGTTAAAGCGGTCAAGTCCCAAAAACTGCTATCACATCACCACCACCTTCACGCATTATTCACATGAAATAGCAATCATTCAAATCTACCGCCACATCTCTCACTCTCCAGAGCCATAATGGCGTCGTCACATTTCGGTGCTTGCACACGCGCCACCTCCGGAGCCGCCGTCCCCCACTGCCGTAAGACCAAGCACCAACTTCTATTCTCCATAGAACACGCGAAGTTTACCGGTGGTAGCAGGGGCAGAATTGTGCGGAGCTCGAGAATTAGGGTTTCCGATGGCGGGGATTCGTATCTCAGCATGTGGAACAAGGCAGTGGATCGCGAGAGGAAGGAGGTGGAGTTTCGGAAAATCGTGGAGAATTCCGTTGGAGCTGACGCCGGTGGTGGCGGAGATGAGGTGGAAACGAGTCCGGAGGTGTTGGAGAAGAAGAGCAGTGAGTTTCAGAAGATTCTGGAAGTCTCTCAGGAGGAGAGAGACAGAATTCAGCGAATGCAGGTGATTGATCGGGCTGCGGCGGCGATTGCGGCTGCCCGTGCAATTCTTAAGGACACTTCATTGCCAAAGCCGAAGCCAAAGCCAAAGCCAAAGCCAAAGCCAATTTCTGGCGGCTCTGCCCCTTTGGGGACTGTCATTTCAGACGCTGAGGCTGGTGGAGACTTGGGGGCTAAGCCAGAAGGTAGTAGAGCTTTCTATCATTATTTTATTCTTGTGATTCTTTCAGATTATTCCATTTATGCTGGTTAAAAATTTTACATTTTTGTAATGCGAAGATATTTCTTTTTAGGGCTAAAATTTTGTTTTAATTTGGGGTATTTTAAGTATCTAGTAGGTTAATTTGATTATTGGTATACTTGCTGATGCTGCAACTCAAAGCAATTGAATGATCCATGTTCTTTTCCTCATTATGTCACTGCTATTGTAGCATCAGAATTCTTACCACTATTAACCTTGTTGGTTGCTTAAAAATGCTTCTATTCGAGATAATAAGATCACACTAAGTTACTATGTAAAATAGACAATGGAGAACTTTAATTTTCATGGATAAATTTTATGAATCATTAAAGATTTCCATATTAGGATCTGTGCTGGATCTACTCTTTAGGTCTTGCTTGGGTTGGTCATTTCGGTGTTAGGGATTGTTCCGGATTATTAGTTTTGTATGCTGTTTGTGATGATTTTATTATAATGACATATTTGAGTTTTTTGGGGTGTTCTGAAATGTTGTGTTTCCAAATCTTATATTAATTACAGCTTTATCATTTTCTTTTTTCTTTTTAACACTGGTGCTTGGTGTTCATGGTTTTGTAGTGTTCATTACTTATCTATCAACTTTAGTGGTGTTTGTTAGCTGTTTCAAGCATATCTTTTGAATTTGTTTCAATAATTTATAATTTGAGGTAAAAGACTATATTCTAATGTTGCGCACACAGTCTCATCCTGGTGTTGAACCCTTCAAGAAAGTGAGTGTAGCCAACAAATGTAGCTCCAAGCAGCTTTTCTTCCCATACTCGCTCACACAGTTGGGGACTGTCCTCTATTCTACTGTTCCCTGTTCCAATTCAATTAGATAGAGAACCTCCTTTAATTATGAGTACAACTACATGTTATTTCTTTAGCATATGTCTAGCATAGTTATTTTATTTTGTGGCCACATAGTTTTTTTCAATCTAGAGTTTTTTCCAAAATAGAATTGTTTTAAACTTTTTTTTTTTTAAAAAAAATTAAAATGACGCTGCCAAGTGGGAGACTAAGAATTTTCAATATGCGGGCTTGCATAGTCTTTATATTTGTATTTGTGAAAAAAACGGATTGGTTGGAATGTTTAAAGGCACAGAGAAGACTGGATAAGCTAATTTGTTGGTTGTGATTGCTGTAATCTATTGAGCTTGGTGCACCTTAACTGCACTGGATTGTGTAAGATAATTATGAGTTTTCATAATTGAAGGGTGGATTGATAATGCCCCTACTAGACCTAGAAGGGGGTGAATAGATATTTCAAAATTTAACCATCTTTAATAGAAAATCAAAGTTCTAAGGATAATAATAATTTAATGCATCAATATTAATAAACTGTTAATAGTGCAAGAAATAATAAGAGCAATCACACATCAGAACACCAAAATGACCATAGAATCACCTAAATGACCTCTGATTCAGACTAACACTAGACGTTCTGCCTTGAACTCTGCTCGGCCCTCTTTTTCTTTTGTTGTTGATCTCCTCTGCTAGCTGTCTGATCTTTTTTTGTTTTTGCTTGTATCATTTGTTGGTATTGATCTTCTTGGATATAATAAATCAACATTCTGTGATCTCACTCATGTTTTAATGATGATGAAAGAAATAAAAACTGCTCTTATGCTCTCTCTATATATTTGTTGGTATGCTTCTCTCTCTCTATATATACTTTGAGCTCCAAGAGTGTTTGTATAGGATTTTGTTTTAGAATACTTAGGGCATTGGAGTTTGAAACAGAAAAGGAAACAAAATCCCGCAAGGTTCGATCAATTCATCTGCGGGTTCACTCGATCGAACTCACACATCCATCATCTTTATGCAAAATCTTATTATCAACAAGAACCCACAATTAGGAACTCCAAAAATTGGCTGTAGCCAAATTATTTGTTTGGGATTCATGAGACAATGCTTGAGTAAATGGATTTGTAATGATCCAATAACGAGAGTAGCATTTTTTTTCTATGGTTGCTCCTGTTCTCACAACTTCTGTTCCCTTAACATCCCACAGATATGATTATGCCAGGAATTGAACTTGTTTTGAGTTTTGTCTTACAAGTGTGACAAGGAATAAATATACAGGGCTTATATGGTTTTCTCCTTGCTTGCTTTTGCATTCTTTATAGGGCATAGCGTCCAGCTTAATTGCATGATTACTAACCCTTCCCTTCCTCTCTAAGAACACAGAAACCAGTAATTTTAAGTACCTCTTCATTTGGTAAATTTATTCATAGCTTGGCATAATTATCTGATATCTTGTAGCAGGAACTCTTGAAGTTCTAAATTTCTTGGTTTTGAATTCTAAGATTTGTGTATTTAGATTTGGAGCATTGGCTTCGGTATTTAACAAGTTATTATTTTCCTTTATTCTTGAAAATTTGTGTCAATGGCTGAAACAATGTTTCTTTTCATTTAACCTTGTCTGATTTCGTTCTTTGTTTGAAATTATTTATCTCACCTCATTCTTGCTGGAAGTTCTTAGTGTATTCTGTGCTGCTTGATATTATTCATTGCTTATGTGAGTTGGAACACAGATATTTGAATCACCAAATGGGAGAAATCTTTTGTATGCTGTTAACCAGCTCTTCTTTAAGAATGATTGTTTTGGTTTGATTTATGAATTCGTTTATTTTATTCATTGTATTTATGTGTTTATTTTATTTTGGTGCAACTGTACAAAGTTGTATTATTAATCTTTGCATTTGATCAGGAAAGCAGAGTGGGAGCTCGTTATTGTCTGAGTTTGAAACTGTAAAAAATGAAGCGCCGGGTCCAAATTTTTGGTCCTGGACACCTCCTCTGGATAGTGGTACAAGTTCTGATGATGAAAGTAACCTGAAGTCAGCTAAAAAAACTTCTTCGTTTCCCTCTGAAACCAACCCAGTGATGGAGAAAGAACGACCTGATGATTCTCTCTCAATCCCATTTGAGAGTAAACTTTTTGAAAGCTACCGCAACCCTTCCCTTCCACCTCTTCAGTCCCTGACAGAGGTTGAAAAAGTGGAAGTTTCTACTTCTAGTCTAGAGACACCATTTTTGGAAGAGAAACATGAACTGGGTGTTCTATTTTCAGCACATGCAGCAGATGCAGTTCATGCTCTTGAGAAAGTGGATGAACCATCATCCAAAGGAGTTTTTCCAGATGGATCAAGGTGGTGGAAGGAGACAGGAATTGAGCAAAGACCTGATGGTGTCGTTTGCCATTGGACACTGACCAGGGGTGTCAGTGCTGACAAAACAGTTGAGTGGGAAGAGAAGTATTGGGAGGCTGCTGACCAATTTGATCATAAGGAACTTGGTTCAGAGAAATCAGGACGTGATGCTGCAGGAAATGTTTGGCGCGAATTTTGGAAAGAATCAATGTGGCAGGTCAGTTCACATTGTGTGCGTGTGGTTTTTATTTATTTATAAAATTTTCCCAATGCTTGTGTTTTTACATTATGTTTCATCTAAAATGTTTGTGCTTAATGCTTGCTTCTGTCATATCTGATGCACTTGTCCAATAACCACTTCTTTCTTACACCCCCAACCAACAAAAAAAAAAAAAAAAAAGCATAAATAAAAAGATACAATGCATAAATTAAAATAGTATCATTTTTTTACGTAGATTTGGAATGCTGCTCATTGTCTGATATTGGTGAATTGATCTATTGATCAAAGAGTACTTTTTTCTGGGATGGATCCATTTGGGTTCTTTTGTTTCACATCGGGCTATACAGGTTTCTGGGATACGTAGTTTTTGCACATGATGTATGCACATTTGTTGTGCCCCCTTTGGCATTTTCCAGTGATATTCTTCAGTTATTTATTAGAAACATATATATTTAATATGGAGGATTGTTTAGGAAGAGATTCATGGATGGAAATCTATATGTTGTTTCTGGACTTATTTACAAAAAGTTGTAGGAATTCGTCTTAATAATGAATTTGTGGCTGTTTGTGAGTTTCTATTATGTCAATGTAAATTTTAAAAATGTCATATTGACATACCAACATTTATATATTATCAGTAAAAAATGACATGCGTACATAGAACAGTTCTTATTAGTAAGATATTTTATACAAGGATGTAGGAAGCTTATACAAGAAAGCAACAACAAGAATCATCATTATCATCTCACCTTACCTTTATCCAAAAACAAATAGGGTTTGGCACATGAATATGTTACACGTTGTGCCCTCTTATAATTATTTTCTAAAGTCATTTCTATTTATTTTGTCCAGAGTTAGTTTTGGTCGGCCTCGCTGTCTCTTATCTTCTATGCAAACTAATCTTTCTTTTTCTCACTTGTGTAATTACGGGTCTATGTTGGATATATTCATACCATCCAAGTTTGCTTTCTCTTATTTTGTCACTAATATGTGCTATTCCTAATCCCTCTTAACACTTTGATTAGTAAACTTATCCCTTTTGGTCACTCCTATTCTCCATCTCAACATTCTCATTCTCATTTCAGTTACATGTATGCATTGTTGTTATTTCTATTTAATGCCCAACACTCAATCCTATATAAGATAGGTTGCATAATAATTGTCCTATAACATTTCCATTTTTAACTTGTTTGGTATTTTTCTTATCACCTGAGTATCAGTTAGACTCTCTCCATTTTATTCATCCTACTCCAATCTTTTTTTTTTTCTAGTTGGTACTCACACACACATCTCTTTTGAGACTTGAACCCCTGACCTCTCTTTGGGAGGTAAGAGGCTGATACCGCTAAGCCACTGGCCCGTTGGTATCCTACTCCAATCTTTCTCATAGCAACCTCATCTATCTTCCAACTTTTTGTATTATTGATCCTAAGAATTGAAAACTAGGAAACACAAACATTTCTCTTAGGGGTGCCATGGCAGTATTGAACAGTGGGACATGACCCACACACGGCTATGTCCTGAAATTTGAATGTTTTATTGGACATGCGTTGGACATGGCCCACACACGGCTATGTCCTGAAATTTGAATGTTTTATTTTCTGGTTGAACATGTGTGGGATACAGCTGAGACACGATTTGTATACATTTGGAACACTTTCAAAACACGGCGGGGCGGGGTGGTTTTGTAATTATTCTTCTTACTAGAATGAGATTCAATGCAATTTAAAATATATTATAAGTTAATTAGAAAAATAATATACAATTTTAGAAAACAAAAACAATAAACATTTATCTCTAAACTCCAAATTAGTGATTCCATTCACGATTATATGGATAAAAGGAGCAAAAAATATTATTTATACATTTATAAATATATTATATTATTTTTTGACCTCTCCTTGCCTTATCTGCTAAGAAGCACGGACACGGATACGACACGACACCGACACGGCGACACGGCAAATCCAAAAAAATTAGGACACGGACACGGCAAATAGTATATATATATATATATATATATATATGATGTAGTACTTTAAAAATTACTGAGTATTACTATTTTTCATCAGCCTCACAATGAAAAAAAAAAAACAAATCATAACTCATAACTAATAAACTATAAAAGAACAATGTTGCAAAATTATAAAACCAAATAAAAAATAAGACATTAGAATAATAACTAGTATCATTTAATTATCATTGTAACTTTACTCTAAATACAAAAGCATAGACAGAAAGGACTATTAACATTCATGACTTTACTGTTAGCACTTAACATTCACAAAAACCTAAAGGCTAGTCCCCAAAAAAGATACAAAAACAAGTTAGTTTACTATAATCTATTCCCATCCATCATTTGACCTAAGACTTTTACCATTTACAATACCAAAAGGGTAGTACAAAACCAAAAAAAAAAGAACATATCAGCATTCAAAAAAAAAAAATTTCCAGAAGTGTCCATGCCATGTCCGTGTCCTTGTGCGCGGAGTGTCCGTGCCGTGTCCGCGGAGTGTCCGTGCCGTGTCCGTACCGTGTCCGAAAATTCAAAAAAAAATAAAAAATTCCGGACACGTTTTTTGGCGTGTCCGACATGTGTCGGGGCGTGTCCGACCCGTGTCCGCACGGATTCTTCGCCCATTTTGAAGTGTCCGTGCTTCCTAGCTTATCTATGTCCTATTTTTTAAAATTTTCCGTATTGCAGTGTCGTGTGTTTTTCTTTGTTTTTTTCCAATATCGTCATGCCTGTATTGTGTTGTACCCCCTCGTCTCATGTCTGTATCCATGCTTCCTAGGTTGAAAATGATTATTGAGTAATCCTTTGATCTTGAATTGCTATTGTATATTCCCAATCTTCGTGGTAACCAGTATGATTTTTTGAAACTTTTTATTAATCTTGTGTTTTTTTTCTTCAATAAATGTAGGCTAAACATAAAGATAAGTAAAAGAGAATATATGGAATATAAATTTAATAAAATCCCTTAAATTGAGAATGGGTAGATATAAGGTTTTGAGTGGCTGAAATCGTAACAATGGAGTTCTATGGAGTTTTGGTGATGGAGGATATGAGAGAGGAATGAGAAAAGTGGATGAGGATAGAGAAAATGGCCTTACAAGCTGTCTGGTGGCAAAGCGGCACCGCTTGGGCTAATTTGGCCAACACAGCTACGATTCACGTGTGACAGGTTGTCTTGGACGAATCAATCCTAACTTAAATGGGTGATAATTCACATTAGATTGATATAGTTCAAGATATGAGACTTCTGGAAGTACTTATAAAATATGGTATATGCTAAATTGACGACCAAGATTGTTCTGTCATGTTATGCAGAACACAAACATGGTTCAATATATGTAGATTTCAGAAATTACTTATAAAATATGGTATATGGTGATTTACTGGCGAGACTGTCCTGTGGTTTTGTGCAGGAACACGGGCTTGCTCATATGGAGAAGACTGCAGACAAGTGGGGTAAGAATGAAATAGGTAATGAGTGGCAGGAGAAATGGTGGGAACATTATGATGCCTCTGGCCAAGCAGAGAAATGGGCTCACAAGTGGTGCAGCATTGACCCAGAGACACACCTCGAGGCTGGTCACGCTCATGTTTGGCATGAAAGGTACCACAACACATTGTTCATCATTAAATTGGATTAAGATTAAAAAAAAAAAAGGTTGTCTCTTCTTCATATATGGTTATAGTGGCAGGCTTATTTGCAACCATTTCTCTAAGCATGAATTATTATTATTGTTTATATTTATCTTGAAGTAGGCTTACGTAAGTTGATCTCTCTTATTATCTGAATAGTGCAAAATCATGGCCGCTCTTCGCCTTTTGGAAAGGTTTATTTTTGGTCTAAACGCAATGCACTAGAAGAGACTCGGGGTTTACAGACAAAGATGTCAAAACCCCTTCCTTTGGTATTGAGTTTTGTTGGTCTGTAAAGTCATCTTTGCGCTTGGATCGAGAGTGAGAAAAACGAGAAAAACGTCCCTTGCCAGACTTTATGAATTTCTACTGTTTTCCCCTAATTTTCATACTAGTGAACTACCTATGTTACATTTTCATGGTGTTATTATGGGCTTGACTGCATTATGATTTAAGGATATCCATATATCAATGATTTTACATTGTTCTAATCATCAGTCACAATAATACGTCGATTTAATGTCAAAGAATCAATCTATACAGTTTAATGTGTTTACTGTTATTTTTATTAGGATTTTGATTATCCTGACATTAGAGGGAGAATGTAAATACAACAGGTGTAATCACGCATCCTGTATCACATGCCTGCAGTCATGTTCTATCCGGTGCTCTGAACCCGACATTGTGAGATCAGTTCGATACTACATCGAAATCACAAACAGTGGTGAACATAAAAAATAATAACCGTAATATTTATGCAAGTTCGGTTTCTTTTGGCAGGTGGGGGGAGAAGTATGATGGGCTTGGTGGTAGCACGAAATACACCGACAAGTGGGCCGAGCGCTGTGAAGGTGATGGTTGGACGAAATGGGGTGACAAATGGGACGAAAACTTTGATCTGAACGGCCAAGGCGTCAAGCAAGGCGAGACGTGGTGGCAAGGTAAGTACGGACAACGCTGGAACCGGACATGGGGTGAGGGCCACAATGGCTCGGGATGGGTGCACAAGTATGGAAAGAGCAGCTGCGGAGAGCACTGGGACACCCACATGCCGGAAGAGACATGGTACGAGAGATTCCCTCACTTTGGTTTTCAGCATTGCTTTGACAACTCGGTGCAGCTCCGAGAGGTTCAGAAACCATCTGAAACATCACCAGACATAGAGAACTCGGTGCAGCTCTCGGTGCAGCTCCCAGAGGTTCAGAAACGATCTGAAACATCAAGAGACATTGAGAACTCGGTGCAGCTCCCAGAGGTTCAGAAACCATCCGAAACATCACGAGACATTGAGGATGCTTTTTAGTTTTATATTCGCTTGCTGTTGCATGGGAAGTCCTTACGTAGCTAGTAAAAAACATGCAAAATAACCGGCATTTTAGACATAAATTTCCTTTTTCTCATATATAATTATTTCACCATGTGTAACATTATTCATGTGAATTCTAAGAATATATGAGTAAATGATTCTCCTTTAAGGTGTTTTTCAAATTAAATAACCCTCGTTTCCAAATTATAAAAACCCTGGTTTCCTATTGCTCAAAGAATGACTCAAGAGGGAGGTTGATTGAGTCTTTTATCAAATTAGAGTAGTTTTTGAACTTTTTTTCAAACGCTTGGTGTACAAGCAAATAATGCAATAATATGAAGAGCAACAACTAAATGCAGAGAGTTGGTAATAGAGAGACAAACTCAAGAACAGGAGATTTTTATGGGGTTTAAACCCCTTGCCTACATCCACAACTCGAGAGCAACCCCTCTTGAGATTTCAAACTTCCACTATCAAAAAGCTCTTTTTCGCAGAATTAAAGGCAAACTCTTACAAAGCTTCGCAAGTCTGTCTCTCTTTGATAAGTAAACACCTAGGCTTCAAGGGTTAATACCAACCCTTTTACAACAATCTCAATGCAATTTTAAAATATAACAAGCATCTACCTCTACGCTCCGAATTAGTAATTTTATTCATGCGAACCCCTTTTCATCTTTCGCTGACCAGTATTTTTTGCGATGGTCACCGTGACGATGAAGAACAACGAGATTGAGTTGAAAAGTGGAAAGAATTCCATTGCATGCTGATGCCAAAAGCACAAAAGAATTAAGCATTAAAAAAAATAACAATATAGGATACTAAAGGTAGTTTATTACTATTATTGATAACTACAATATTACTATACACAAGGCAAGCTCAAAAGGAGTATAACTAAGTAATGCATTATATAACTAAACTAAAAATGAAAGAATTTCAAGTTCACCAGAAATTTGACTTCAATGCTTGGGGGTAAGAGAAGGAAAGGAAGGAATGGATTGCAGTATCAACTTCCTGCTGCTACTCCGACCAGGGGACAACCCAAACTCGCTGTGAGGAGGGGAGACTCTTTTACTGTTGGGTGAACTAATCTTGATGCCGGTGATGGGAGAGCAGTTTCCTTGAAGAATCTCAGGCATGTTGTCTTCCTCGACAGTTTGGAGATGCTTCTCGAATTTGGATTGAGGTTGAAAGAGATTAGGCTTCCCGAACCTTTGGCTACTGAAGAACCCGGAAGAGGATCCAATGGGAAGAAAGGAAGATCGCGGTGGTTTGCCTTTGGAGGAAAATGGCAGCTGGATTGACGATCTGGCAGAGAAGATGTCATCAAAAATCTACCACAGATGGATTCCAACACTATCCGTAAACTGCTAAAATGATACCTGCTGAACCGTAAAGGTGTTAAGGTCTGCTCTGCATCATTCTGGATTACAGTTTTCAGTGAACTTTTGTCCACCACATTCTTCTCCCATGTTTCTGTTTCTCCTTCTGGTTCAGCTTCTGCCCCTATTAAAACAGACCCTGAGATTGGACAAAGTAAACATTTCAAACTAAAATAAATTCGCATGCACGAGTGGCTCAATGAATCAAGTAGCTAAATGAATAGAAGTTTTCATGAAAGCTAAATGGCATTCTTACCATCCTTTCTACCAAATGCATTCTTACACCCTTCGCATCTGCAGTTAATGGAGCATCCTACGCCACCCTTTAAAAGAAACCCACAATTGATAAACCCAATAATAAACAACATCAAAAGCATACAGGATCCACCAAGAGGGGGGGGGGGGGGAAACCTGATAGCATTCACAGTATTTCTTTAGGCAACCAGATTTCTTGCAGTTGCATCCTCTTTTATGTCGAGCTGAAGCAGGAGTCTTGCTGGATTCATCCTGCAAGAGCATCAACACTTAAAATAATAGCATTTGGCAATAGCTTGATAAGGAAAATGCATGCGTGGATGTTGTTTCCTAACCCCAGTTTCGGGTACAGTATCAGATTTCCTAATCACTTTGGGCGCAAATGCAAGCGGATTGCGAGATTCGATCTGTTTGCGAGTTGCAAGGACAGTATCTTCATGAATAGGCTGATTGAAGCAGTCTTGACATGAACATGGCTCCACACAATAGACACCAGCAGCGAAGCATTCACAGTAACTGTATAGGGAAAAACAAGTTACTTATGAGCATGGTTTTGTTGTAAGGCCTCTTTCTAAATGTTATCTTTATATAAAGTGACACCAATTACCATGGGCTTTAGCCCAAGTGGTATCCCTACTTCCAAATGGAAAGTTGAGGGTCCAAATCCCTGATGGGATGTTAATGACTTCATGCGTGTGATTTACATACCAGGGAAAAAAAATTTGGTGACACCAATTAGCTCTATTTATAGGTTAAGAGAAGCTTCAATTCTACATGAACAAGAAATTATGACTTCTAGTTCTTTTTTCAAATTGGTTCAATTCCTATACTTTCATGAACATTTCTTCGTCTCAAGTTTTAAAATCCTCTTTCCTTTTTAGATCCACATGCTAGCTAATTAGTTGGACCTAGACAAATTCAATAGTCACAACAATAATTCAGCTAGTATGCATACATATTGATTTAAAATCAAGTTATCAACTTCCAGCCTTCAGCACTTGACAATATTTCAATAAATTCCTTGAATTCTCTGTCAAAACCCCAAGCTAGCTGGTCTGTCTTAGTTATATATCATTTAAATCGCAGTAAAGATGCCCCAAACATGTTATCAGATAAACATGAAACATGCAAGACAAGTGCACCACATAATATGTGTATGTATATATATAATATATATATACAGAACATTAAGATCTAGTTAAGCACATAGGTAGAAACTTTACACCATAAGCTGCCATAACCTTTGCTTTCAGCTTTTTCTTTTTTTTTTTTTTTTTTTTTTTTTTAACTTAAGCCTTTCTACTTCTTTATTTGATGTTATACAAACTGACATTTTAACACATGCCCATCTGAAATATTATGTACCACATCGCATTGATAAGAAGATACATCACACCATTACCCACCGTAAATTGCGGAGAATTCCAACTATAAAACATGCCCAAAATTGAAAATACAAGAAGTTCAAAAAGAATTCACATATCTAAGACGCAGAGATGGTAATAAGCTAAAACATTCGCCATCATAGTGTAATACACAAATATGTATATATAACAAATATGTATAAGTACATGCAAATGTATGTTTGCATCTGGAAGAGTGACAAATGATAACAGATATTCACTTCATCTGATGTTTCTAAACCGAAATTTTCGCGACACTTCTGCACCCCCAACAACAATATAGAACCAAATCAAATTGGTAAATTACCGACTCAGATAGAGACGGTGAACTCAATGGACCAGATCAATTAGAAGGGAACATCACAACCCAGAAGGTGAAAACAGTATTCCATTGCAAGTTATTAAGCAAACCAATTAAACCAGGACTGTTTAATGGTAACTTGAAGAAAATGTAAGAACTTACAGTTTCAAGCATTTTGATTTCTTACAGTTACAACGCTTACACCCCTCAGGATCTCCAGCATTTTCCAACCTACGCCTGAAAGTTAGATTCACATGAATTAAAAAATAAAAAATATATACCAGTATTATAAGATAAAAGTTTTAGTAAAATCAAAAGGAAATTATTGCGCAATAAATTATCCAAAGAAGTAGAATAAGTAAATATGCACATACCTCTTCTTTTTCGGACTACACTGATTGAACTCTTCACAAACTAATCCAGAGGCCTGAGAAGCATCCTCTATAACCTGAACTCCATTTTCAGCAGAAACCATGTCTCTTTCCACAGAGGTTGCTGCCAGAGATTTATTCAAGGGTTCTTGACCGGAAGTTAAAGAATACAAAGAGGCAGTTGAGTTAGGAGTATTTGTTAACTGCCTTCCAGAAGCCAAATTTTCATGTTTGCCAACATTGTAGTCCTTTGAAGTGGTTGCGAGAGCATTCAAGTGCAAACCAATTCCAGGAAGAATGCACCTTGTGGAGTCATTGCCAGGCCTTTCAGGACCCATCTCCTTATCATTAGAAACAATGTTTCCATAAGATTGTGATAATGTGGAAGAACCATAACTCGAACTATCATCGAAGTGCTTTCTGCGAGCTCCCACCATCTCAAAGACCAGACATCGCCTTCTCATACCACGTTGCAGAACAGGGACAGGCTATACAGAAACAGACAAATGTAAATACATGCTGATGAACAATTTCCAAGAAGTGCATTCTTCATGTCTACAAAAGAAAGAAGAAAAGAACAACTTCTATTAACCGAGAAGCTCTATGACCAAGACTAAGATGCACCAGACATCCAAAGAGTGGGAGGAGGGAAGCTTAATGTTTAATATAATCTCTGTAATAAATTTATCAAGACTCACAAACAATTACTATTTTGACATATAGTTGAAATGACTTACGTTTACGTAACACAATTTTAAAAATTAAATTGGCAGCTCACCAATTGAAAGTTGTTTAACATATTCAATTTACTTACAATAGGATGTAATAAAGAGGAAAATATCATCTTAAATTTCTAAAATATAGTATAAGCAACTTGATTTTTTTTTTTTTCCTTAGTTGGTCTCACACACACATGCCTCCATTGAGATTCGAACCCCTGACCTCCCTTTGGAAAGTAGGAGCCTGGTACCGCTAGGCCACAGGCCTGTTGGTGTATAAGCAACTTGATTAAGAACACCTTTAAAATCAATTACCATTGGCTTAGTCCCAGCTCTGTTTCATGACAACTTCTTTGGCCCATCAAGCTAAGATGTTAATGTATAATTTTTACATTGCCTCAGCCATCATGTTGACATTTCTGGAGTCCTAAACAAGCTGAGATGGTAGACATCTGCCTCAAACTTCGAAATCTCCACGACAAATCCTTATTGGCTACTGCTTGTTCCAAGAGTAAAAAAGCTCATGTTGTAACTTTATGTAAATAGTGCCAAAAGTTGGGTATTTTTCCAGGATCCCACCTAGCACCTCAAATTGGCAGGACAAAAATTGGGTAATGACCTTTTCACAATTTGCTGATAAAAATCTGAACCCTTTTGTTGAAACATAATGTTGAATGATATCTTGAATTTGCATTTAAATGTCCAAGCAAGAGAGAGGCTGTACAGGTGTTACAAAGCCTATACTGGGTGTAATTTTTTTTTCATAGTTGGTACTCACACACACATGCCTCCACTGAGGCTCGAACCCCTGACCTCCCTTTGGGAAGTAGGGGTCTGGTACAGCTAGGCTACTGGCCTGTTGGTTATATTGGGTGTAATTTTAATTGCACAAGGTAGACACCTTATACCTAGAAAAATGTTTTGTTCAATCCAGTATGAAAATTTCAAAGGCCATTCAATTTTTTTAAGAGACAGTATAGGACTTCACTTCTCATGAGGTATTCAGTCCAAAAATAGTATATCCAGTCACATCTATTTATTTGCTCATGTGCAGGGTTTAAGCCGAACCACATCTTATCTTGTATCTCTATGTCTGAATGATTCATGGATTGTACATGTGCTTTCTTGAATCATTGTTATCAGGCCATTAAAACTTAAAACCATAAATCCTTGCAAAACAAACTGATATTGAAGCATCTGTTGCCTCAAAGGATAACCATTCATCTGAACGCCAGAAACGGACTTCCCTAGGCAAACCAAAATACTGAAGAAGCCAAGCAATGCAATGCCAACAATTTTAACAACTTGATTCACTAGAGGTTCTAAAGCCTCCTATCACCTTGGTGCAGGGTACAATCTGAAGCACACGTTAAAGCATGCATTTAAACTGATAAAGCGATCCAGTACATATGTCATAGGTGGTCAACTATCTTGCATGGAAACTTCTAACAAATCAAGAATCCTTACAATACCCATGCTGAATTAAACGGACCACTGCTCAATGTAGTCCCCATTAATCGAGGGTGCTGAGAGGAGTAAACTAGATTCGGTGTAACATATGGCATTATATACAAAACGTGGCTACTCTCAGGAAACCCGATTCTCACACTTAATAGTCTGAACTGAACTAGGCAATGGGCCCTACATGTTGGATTACAAGTTTACAACGCCCTATAAATTCTGGCATGTCACTCCGGAATCAAGTACATGCACATCTTTAGGCAAAACCCACTTATACATTGTGGTTATTCAAGCCATGGTAGTAGGAATGAAGAGTAAATTTTAACTAAATCTTGAATCCGTAAGTATATTGTTTTGGATGTACATTAGAATATGGGGCCTAATTGAAGTGGAGATGGAAGAACTGCAGAATTGACAATTCAAGAACAAGATACAGGTGAAACTTCAACCAGAAGAAAGAGAAATAAACAGCAAAAACAGAATTTTGAGAGAGGAAGAAGAAGAGAAGGGCACATTCAACTGCCAAATAAACCACTTTACCTACCCAAAGAAAAAGAGGGAAAAGAAATAAGGACGAAAAAAAATAAGGAAGAAGAAGACACAATAGTGTAATGGAGATAGATATTATCCTTGTCTTCATCCAGTAATACCAGTTCCATAAGTACAGAAAATATAAACATAGAAAAAGAACACCAAATCAACACATAGGTTGGTCACCTAAGGCAGCCCAGCATGTCACTCTAAGACGTAATGGTTAGGGTAACCAAACAATTGGGATTTTGACTTGAGTAAAAGAACAGTAGAAATCTGCTCAGTTTATTGCCCGAAAGATTTGTAGGGAAAAGAATAGTAAATATTTCCTTAGTTATTGCCTGAAAAATGTATACCCTTATCTGAACTTAATTCTATCAAAAAGAAGCATGGATATCTTATATTAAAATTTTCAGTCCTTTTAATTAATGTCTAAACAATTCATGCTATTGACTAAGAAGAAATGAAAACTTGTCCAATCACGGGTAGCACTAATATCTTAATTAAGTTATGATTTAAGGATATTCATTCCATCAATCAAAGAAGATCATAATTTATATTTATTGTGAAAAGAAAATTGATTAAGAATTGCCTCTGAAGCACCTAATGCCTTGCAATAACATGCAGCATATCCCCAGGCCTTGCACCTAACTAAAGGCTCCTCTTCTTGAAGGGGCAAAGAGTTTAGGGTGCACCTTGCACCTTCCCTGAGCCTAGGCTTGCCTTTGACAACAGCCCATTTTTTTTAACAAAATTAAATTTAAGACATTAAAGCCCAAGGTTACAAAAAGTTTATCAAAGATATCAACTATAGTAGACAACAGCTCAGGGTATCCAGGAACTTCTGTACTAAATCTGTTATTCTAAATTGAAAATAGATCAGAACATCTGGAGGACGGAAAAATGAGCAATATGCAGTGAAGGCAATGCAGATACAAATTTCAGATAGTTGTCTAACAAATTCTTATATATCTTCAATATATCGGTTATTCAAACTAAAAACACATAAATGCCATTTGACACCAATCCATAAGCACATCAGGAGAAACCTAGTGGCTGAAATTACACAGAAGCAAGTTAATTTTAGGGTTCAAAAAGCATTCACCGATGGGAGGAATATTTATAGAGAGAGAGAGAGAGGACCATTACCCAGTATTGGTTTTAGTAAGGAGAGATGTCAAGAAAGTATACCGCGTGCATGAAGAAAAAAATTTATTACAAACAAAAGAAAAAGAAAAATGTGCACAGAGAAGAATCAAGGTGGTTCAGACTGTGATCTATTACCATGAAACAGGTTGGAGAAAATGTAGACAAGCTAGTGATATATTCTACGGTAAGAGAATATCAAATAAATTCAAGGAAAAATTTTAAAGGACAGTCATTAAACCAGCTATATTATCCAGAACAAAGAATTGGCCATAAAAAAAGAAATAATAACAATGCATCCATGTCATAGAAATGAGAATGCTGAGATAAAATCAGTAACTAGAGAAGATGTGATTGATTATCAACTCACCAATTAATGATGAAATAAGAGTATTAGGCTTAGGTGATATATAACAAAACAGTGTAGTAGATGCACCAATATGAAAGCAGATTATTGGGCATTAAAAAGGAAACAAATAGAGCGCATCCATGTCACTGAGATGAGAATGCTGAGATGAATAATAGGATTAGCTAGAAGAGACACGATTATAAGAGTATGTAAACTTGCTTATCAAAAAAAATAAGTGTGTGTAAACTTAGGTGGCATCGATATATGTTATATACAATGTCAACCTATATGAGATGGATTCGTCATAAGTACATGAAATGCCCGCGTCAGACACACTACACTTTGGACAAGTGTTTGGGATTATGTCTGACACATTTGGTCAGACATTTACCTAAAAAGCATATACAATAATTCAATTTTATTAGATTATTGCTTCAAAACTTGCCTATTTTGAACCCTAAGTTACATAAAAACTTCATTTTACTCGAGCAAATAAAACAAACATTAAATAATTTGAATATTTATCAGTGTCCCTATATCCTTCTATTTGGGTCTGACAAATCTGATGCTTGGATACATACCCAACCCAATACACGTACTCTAGCACGGTAACATAGGCATTAATAAGAAAAGGAAGGCTAGTTTAAATGGAAAGAAAGGGACAATGAGCCAAACAAAAACTAACATGGATGAAGAAATAAAAAAAAAAGACCTTGAGAAATTTAGTATAATAGGAGAGAAAATTTGTAACAGAAAAGACTAGAAGAAGAGAATTCATGTAGCCAACTGGAAGGAGGTAATTCACGTAGCCAACCACAATATGATGGCATCCCATGTGAGAATGATGAATATGATATTGTGGAATTTAGTCCTATTAAATTATTCCTATATATTTACACTAAGACCAATACTCTCCATCTAATAGTTCAGTAGCACCCCCCTTCCCCTGCCTAGAGGTGCTGCACAGAAATTTTAGTAAAAACCCTAGCTTACTCCATGATCATACACAGGCACGGACCTATTGCTTACTCAGTGGGGCCATTGCTTCAGCTAGTTTTATCTTCTTTTTTTTAGTATTATACCCTACAATTTTTTCCAGTTTGCTATATATATACTGTTGTACAGTATTGTATGAGTTGTCAGACGTGTATAGTTAGTATTGTATGAGTTGTCACCTACCCCTCATTACCATATATAGAATTACCATGTATATCGTTTTCTTGTTCTCCACTCACCTACTCCTGTAGCTTCTCCTACATAAACACCATTGTATTATTGTATA